GCTAAAGTTTCAGTGATTGATCTATTAAATTCATAAAATTGTGCTCACTTAGTATCAGCAGAGGTTGGCCTGAAGAAAAAACTGACAGTCAGATTTCCTTGCTGGGTTACTGCGTTCAAACTGCTCGACACTAGTAGAAAAACTTCTTGGTTGCAATAGATAAGTAATCATGCTTCAGAGTTTTCAACCATTTTTCGTAAGGCTGTTTCGCTGGTTTCCCAATTGCTCTAAGTTTCAAAAAGCTGCGCATTCAAGTTTACGACGTTCTTCGCTCCTCCCATTCCTCAACCATCTTATTCAAAATTGCGTCGCTGTCTAGCATCTCCATTTGCCATTTTCATCCGAGATTTGATCAGACATTGGTTTTTGTCCTGAAGTTTTGTGCCTCTGTCTTGAAAATGCATTAGTATAATAATTTTTTGCAAAAGTCAGTAACATACGCAAAGTGCATCTTTTGAAATGTTCTTCAAATACTCGCAAGGCCGACGGTTTATGCTTCAGACTGGTGACTCATTACGGAATTGCAGCGTCAGCATCACTTTAAATCGATACAAACACTTTTCCTGCAGTTTTTTTTCTTTTCGTGTGCTAGATGTAGATTACTCTATGTTAACCTTTGTCAAAAGTGTTTTTTTCGTAAAAGTGACCAACACTATTCCACGTTCCGCACCATCATGCTGGCAATTTCTCTGCATCAATATATCCACCAATTTTAGTAAATTTATCGAAGCGTACCGATAATCACGTGAAGCGATGAGATCTCCTCGTTCCGTGAAACGACCACACACTAATCATCACACGACTAATGTTAGGAGAAACAGAGGCAAACAAGTAAAGAATTCACGCTTGAGACAGAAGCAGTGGTGAGACCTCGAAAAATGATGGATGTTCTGCAGTTCTTCCTCTGTAATGAGAATTCCAGGGCACACACGCTCGTCTATAGCCCCGATGTTGCAGAAAAACGCCAGTTATTCACCCATTCCGCGTCTCCTATCATCAGGGAGGTGGGTATCTCTGGAAAAAATTAATATCTACGGTCATCTACGAAGTGGTTTCTGATTTAGGTGAGCGAAGATGAACGTGCTCGCCGTGCTGAGAAGAAAAAAGAGAAGAAGTTAATTGCTAAGCAAATTGATGACGAAGCTCGAAG